AATAAAGACTGTTTGGTGTAAGAAAATTAATAATAGTTAAGTGAACAAAAGCTGGTCAGCTATATTAAAAATATTTTAAATAATTTGTTTTGTATTAAATAACTATTGAATAAAACCTGAATTTATTTTGTGCTGAAATAAAAGTGTAAAGATGATGAAGAAAAACAAACAACAACTTGGACATATTTTAATTTTAGTATTTTTGAAATATAAATGAGTAGGGATATCCAATAAATCAAACAAATAATAATAACAGATGACAAGTATATGCAGCCTCAATGCAAAGTGATGACTACCTATTGGAAGAGCCTATTTTGGTAGATAATCTTGATTCTCTGATGGAACAAACTTATACTAAATCTATCTTGAGATCAACTTCTTTTGTATATAATAAACCTTTTAGCAAAACAACAAGAAACCCAACCTGATATGAAAGAACACTATTTTGTAAGTATACCAATCTTTATAGGTAACAATCAAGATTTTATAGAGTAGTTAGAAGCTGTTAATAGAGTATTTGAAGCTAACTACATAGTGGACACAAAACAGCTTTTAGTAGTTAACATTTATTTTTCTGGCCTGTAGCTTTTTGGTGAGAAGGTTAGAAAGCAAAAAGGCTGGGTCTAAATACTGGGAAAATAAATTCAACTCTGAACAAAGTTTTGTTTATCAATTTTATACCAATTTTTGTATACATACCTTGATAATACAATGGAATAAATATAATATAGCTTACCCTTAATAAAATCATTAAAATTATTTAAATAAATTATTTTTATATTATAATAAAAAATTTTAAATTAGTTTTTTAATATTAATTAAAATACTAATTATGATATATATATGATAAAATAACTATATAATACAATAACTATATAAAATAACTAATTTTAATATTTTTTAAAAGAAGTAAGCTATACTACATTTAATTCTACAACTGTTGCTACTCATGCAACCATTAATGATATTTCAGCCACTACCACAACAACAACAAATGTTGCTACCTCAAGTGACAGTACAACAGTCTGCTCTGTTTCAATTGCTGGTAAGCCCATTGCCAACTATGAACTTTAAGATTCGATGGGCCAAATGATTATCTTGTTGCAAGAAGTTGTAATAGTGGTTAAGGACAATAATAATAACAATAATAATAATTACTCTGCTATTAATATAAACTGACAAGATAGAAGTAGTTGTAGACCTACCTGATTCTCCTGCCAACAACTATAGCACTTCGCAAGAGATTGTCCAAATATTGTTTAACAATCAAATACTATTAGAAATATTTTATTAGTTCTGGATTTAAATAGTAGAGACTATATTGAAAGTAGTACTAGTGCCTAGCAAATAACGAATCAAGGGCTCAGGCAATGATAGCTCAAATAGAAGATAGATTTGGATATTTAAACTAGATAATATAGCTTTTAAGGATAAGTGTGTATTGATGTCAGAAAATTTCTTAGTAAGAATGATTGAAGAGGCCTATATAGCAAAATATAATGTAAAGATGATAATTATCCTAATAAAATTAAAATCCCACCCCAAAATAAAACTATAGAAAAGGTAGATTATGTTAATAAAAAGTTCAAAATTAAAAAAAAAAAGAGCCAAATCTATTGATTCTTTCGTGATAGCTAGCATCTAACTATATTTGATCATATTAGATTTGCAGAGCAAAAAGGTGGATATAATCTATGTTCAGTTGTTTTAAGCTATATTGGATATTCGGAAAGAAGCTTTCAAGTTACTGCATTCTGAAAGAACCACTAAGTCAAAGTTTGTCAATTTTCAATTAAGTCAAACCAATACTGAATATACCATATCGATATATTGCAAAATACAAGTAAACAACATGCCAATTATTTTAATTTTAAATAGTGAATTGTCGATTGTGTGGTTTTAGCAGAATTTTTAAAAGAGGTTAAAATTGTGATCAATTATCCTTCAACTATGTTAATGATAAAGATATATCAGTCCGGTATTTTACCTAATTTGGAAATCAGATCTAGAATATTTCAAATCACGTCTTGAAATCTAATTGGTAGACGATCATCCTTATCGACGCAAAACCATGAACTTCGTGACGTCAAAAAAAAAATTTGCACAATTTTTTAAAAAAACTAATTGTCAAAATACATTTTTCAAAACCCGTAGTTTAAGAATCCACAAGGATCCATGAAAGTTTATAGTGTAGTTTTTTTTTATTCTTGCTTAAAATACATATATATTCGTATATAGACATAGCAATTTTGAGAACAGAAGCCAAAGATTTACCTTGTTTGTTTAACTTTTTTGCTGAAGATTACCCAGGAAGTGAGTTGGCAATATGTGAAACTCCTGAAAAGCAAAGGTGGTGACATGCAGATGCCCCCATGGTCGAGAATAAAGCCAAAGGTTTGGTTAAGTATCTTTCAAAATTATCACCATTACTTGGTTCTTTGAACAATTACAAAAACATTACAACAATATAATTATTAAAAATTTTTTTCTTGAGCAAATAGAAAAAGTTGGTGATTCTGTTTTTTATGTTCCAATAAAAAAAACTAAAAAAAAAGTTTTGTCTGATAATGAAATAAATTTTTGTAATTCTGGGATTCAAGTGTCATTACCTGAATATTCTTGTGATTTTGGAATCCAAGTTTTGTTACCGAATCCCGAATATGAAAGTCTTATTAAAAAAATTAATAAATTAGAACGTTTAAATTAACAATTACTACTTGAGAATAATTTGTTAAAAAAAAATTAAATAATAAATATGATAACCAACAAGAGCGTGTTAAAGCCATTGTAGAAATTGCCAAACGAGAATGAATTGCCTTGTATGATGATGTCATTAAATTAATAAATAACCGTGAGCGCTTTTGTTTAGATAGTCTCTTAAATTATTCCCCATCTCAATGGCTTATGATGCATAATCCAGTTGTAGTAGAATTTATAAAAACTCTTACATATAATGAAAATGAAGACCATTACGAAGGAGAAAAACTTTTTAAATGTGCCGTAGCAATAGATAATATATACGGAATAAAATATTTAAAATATGTGTCTTCGATTAATTTAGCACTATTGGCAATAAAATACTCTATAGCAAAGTCCAAAACGATAATTGATATCGATAGCTATATTATAAATACTGGTAGTTTTACCAAATTTATTAATTGGCAAGAAACTTTAGCGGGTAATTCGGATCCATTTCCAAATGGGTTGGTATTTATAGCATTTGATAATGAACAAAAAGGCCAAAAAAATTATTTAGATCATGGATATAATAAAGTGATCTTTCATACGGTCACTAGTTTTGTTTTATTTAACTTCGATCCTACTAATCAAATACAAAATTTCAAAAACCCTTGGCTATATTAAAATCTTAATATATCCCAAATCGAAAAATTATTTGGCCTTACTCCAGAAATGCAAGCATTGCTTGATCGTCAGCTTCACGATTATCTTTCGTCTATTATACTGAATTATGTACAGAAAAAAATGAAGAAATAAATGTTATTGATGATTTAATAACTAATCAAAGTGCTAAAACAAAAAATCAAAAACAATGTCATGATTGTGGTAAAAAAGACATTGAAAACTCTAAGCGTAAATGTCCTCAATATCATGCAAAACTTCTTACACTCGCTGAAACTCAACAAGAAAAAGAGCAAACCATATCCGATAAGAAAGAGAAAAACTCAATTAAGCCATTAACTTTTAGACCCTATCAACCTAAAGAAAGTAAATCGGGTAAATCGAATGAATCTACAAGTTCAATAAGTATAACACAAAATTTGGAACCTCAAGACGGTGTTAAAAACCCGATGTTCTTGTACCCAATCCTTTACCAATTAATCCAAATTCTGTTAATAATGTTCGCAAAATTTTTGATCATATTCAAAATATTAGTGGAGTTAATAATGGCAATCGAAGATGGATTATAGTAGTTTGTGACAGACTTCCTTACCATTATGCACAAAAATTTAAATCTGAATATCCAAGAATTATTTTGTTGCCTGGTCCACTTCATGAAGAAATAAATATGTTAAAAGCTTTCGTGGAATTGAATTGGTAATAAAAAAAAAAAAAACTATATTAGTAACAATATAGTAAAAAATTCACCATCTCACTTAATAATTAATTATTAAATTACTGACCAATATAACTAATT